GAAAATTTATAGAAGGACCCCTCCTTATAAATAATTTATTGCAAAATCTATTTTCTCTCTTCAGAACTATTTTTCCAAAAACGTTAAAAATTCATTTATACCCCAAATTTAAACAGAAATGAATTCCTTGCAAAAAAAATTATTGACCATTTACACAATTCTCATTATTAATTTATATGAAGCGATCGTTTTCGAAGAGTAATTTTCTTCCGGACGTACCTCAAATAACATAAATTATTCATGACCATTTTTCAAATTTTTCCATGCGATTGAGATGAAAAATTTGATGAATGAAATAAAAATAAAAAGGAAAACAGGAAAACAAAAAATACGTGAGTATCCTCAAAGTTCTAGCATTTGAAATGCGCTAAAATGAAAAAAAAAATTATAAACTACTTCTCCTATGTCACGACTATCTCCTGCACGCCTACGCCCTCCCTATCACCCGATACTTCCTCTGCTTTAATAAGTAAATATCGTAATTTCAACATAAAGCGCGATAATATGAAAATAGAACGGTAGAATGTAAATTGAACTTGAAATAATTTGAGTCATGAGTCACAAGGTTTAAAGAAACGTACACTTGACAATTAAAAATAGCTTGACCTCTCGTGCCGCAGAGTGAAGTAGAATGCAAAAAAGTTGAGTTGAAAAAATGGCTTTTAACTCACCCGCATGGCAAGATAAAAACAATAACCATTACTCCCCTCTTCGCTACTAAAAAGCCTATGATAATAACTAATCGGTGGAAATAGGAAATAGCGAGGATATCTTATCGTCGTAGTGCAAGTAGTCCCGCTACTTTTGTTCGCGGTATCAGTCCTCATTGCTGAGTGCGTTCACCTAATTCTCTGGAAAAAAAAAAACAACATGGAGAGGTGACTTACCGTACGGCGAGGCGCGCTGGAAGCCAGCGGATTCGTAAGGCCACCGGGAGGACATCATCGCGACGTTTTGCGCGTAGAATGGACTCGCGAGGGTTGCGTGAGGGTGGCCTGTGTGGGGGTGGGATGGGTGGGGGTGGCCGTGTGCTCCATGCGCTCCCATACCTGCGGGGGAGCCACCCGTGTGCCCCGCCAGGGCGTGATGCGTGTAACCGTCGACTCCATGCTGCCAGGATGCTGTTTTCTCCCTGACAAATTGGGAAGAGGAGATGGTTAATTTATTTAGTTTGGGATGGTAGGACTTTGACAATGTTTTTCGTTATTTTTTACTAGTTTTGGGGAAAATTATTAATAAATACATCTATGTTGAGGTGTTCGTGGCGTAATGCGACGACTTTGGGACGGAACTCCATTTTTTTAGTAAATTAACAGTATTTTGCTGAAGTATAGCGAGAAAACTTTTGCTTTCCGGAAGAATTCAACATGAATTTTCAATCAAATTTACGTCGGATTCCACTGTTAAAAATTTTTGTCTGAATTTTCCGTGCCAAATTGCGGAAATTTCAGGAAATCTTTGAAAAATAAAAAATTCCATTGATTTTCTGTTCAAATCATCTGGAAATCAATAAAATACTTAATTTTACAGTTCAATTATTCTGTGAAAATTCATGTAATTTTGTTTTTGAATATTCATGTTTAACTGAAAATTCAATCAAGTTGTGAAATTTCATAACCATTTTCTAATAGCGTATTCCTCACTAGTTTATTGCAAAGTGAAATTAACTGAATCCACTCATAATAAGAATCTGCATTCATAAAAACTATTTAAAATCTGTGCCTATTCTTCAAATTTTCACAGAAAATTATTAACGAATGAATAAATTTTATTAATGAAGAACTGATTACTTCTTTCTGATTTTATGACGTAATGTGCAATTTTTCGAGTAGAATTGAATATTATACAGCATCGCCAGATAGATTTTCCGAGTGCACGAAGGCGTGATTGTTTCTGTTATTAATTATAAAACAATTTTGATTATTTAATTACTCAAAAATTTCGCTGGTTCATTTGAGATTCCCTCTTTACCGGGGAAAAAAATATTCTCTGACATAATACTGATTTTCAGTGATCCATCCCCAATTTTTAGCGATTCGCGATTGCGAAATTCAACGCCCGCAAAATTCTGGAATTCGGTGATTTTGTCAATAATTTTTAGTGACATTACCGCTAATTTTCAAACACATTGTCATTAATTTTCCGGACCCCTGCCCCTTCCCCCGTCTAATTTGCAGGAATTTATCACTAAATTTCAGTGAGAAAAATGATGGATTATCAGGATTATTCTAATTACTATCCAGTATCACCAGTAATTGGTGACAGATACAGAAAAATCATTAACAAGCGACATGTTCCTGAAAATAATTTTTTTCCCTCTGTCCCAATCAACTCGTCACCGGAGCAAAAAAAAAATTAAATAAAATTCAAAAAATGGTGTACCATGCGGGTGAAGCGGAGCCAGGAAATGTGTGATACTGTGCCGTGGCTGCTGTTGGGATAGCCGGTCTCGAGGACGGCACGTAAACAGGCGCTTGGAGTTGCTGATTGTGCTGCTGTTGCTGCTGCTGGGATTGCTGTGTCTGGTAGTCGGTGCCCGCTCCGTACCCACCACTTCCACTGCCATGGAACATTCTATCCGAGAGCACCTACCACCGCATTTGCTGAAAAACAATCAAAACCATAGCAAACTGTTAAAAAAAATTACTCCAGTTTATTGCACGAGACATTTCATTTCAAACCGTGCAGCTGCATCTTCATTTTATGCCGCTTTATTTTCTCATAAATATGAGTTTTACTCTCGGAGATAGCGAATGGTAAATTTATAATTTATTTTTATGGTCAAAATTCAGTATGAAAAAACACAGCCAGAGAAATGATGCATTTTAATCGGATAAACGATTCAGTTGATCCAATTATTATTTTACAACAACAATTATTTTATTTTTAATTAGTAAAGTCTCTATTTAAATCAATGAACTATCTGTTTAAATTTGATACAAATTTAAACAAGTGGACAATTGCAATTTTAGATATTGTTGCTAAGAAATTAACAATTTTCTTCCGAATGGATTTGCTTTTTTCTCCAGATGTAATCATGAAAAAACCCGTTTTCTCTTTCGAATCGCATGACCTTGATTGATAACAACACCCTCTTGATTCTGATAAAATCAAGAGGGTGTTATCAATTTCTTGAGCCATGACTACTTCCATTTTGATGATCATTCAATTTTTTGAGTGATCATTGAAAAATTGATGTTTGGAAAAATATGAATTTTTGAATCTGAATGAAAAATTAAATTTTCATTGGTGTCAGTGAAGAAAGATTGTTAAAGTCTATATTTATGAAAAAAATCCCTTGTAAAAATTTTTTTTTTAAACTACATACATACAGACATTATCCGAAAATCACATATTCGGTCTTTCTAGAGCCTATTTAGTCACTCTAATACAAAAAATTGGAAACGTAAATTGAGGAAATTACAAAGCCTCCATTCAGAAGCAGAAATAACTTAAAAAATCCCAAAAATAAAAATATACAAAAAATAAAATGATAAAAAAAATAACAACACTCATACAAAAACTCATTTATTCAATTGAAACAAAACATTTCCATGGGTACAACAATTGGCAATTGAAAAATCATTCAATCATTCACCGAGGGGGATGTGAAGATCATGACCCCTGTTCACCGGCCATGGTATCTCCTCCATGGCCACACTGCCTGGACCAACTGTAACCCACCACATCAAATTTATAACGAAGAGCGAATCGAAGGGCGCAGGAAGAGGCGGGGGGACTCAGGGCTGGTGCGAATAAAACAAAGTGAGACAGAGAAACGAAGAGGCGGAGAGCACGAGAGTGAAGGACGATGAGAGACTGTGCTCCACCTCCGTTGGGTGGTTTGTGCGCCTTGAGAAGAGTATTCCAGGCACAAACGTGAAATCGGAGATAGCCGATAGCGGCCATTGCGACCACGAATGCCAGTGGCGTGTAGGCGGGACCAAAACGTTCCCTTCTTCGTTGGATAAACGATTCAACATCAAACCCGTATACCTTTGTGTTAGTATCTCTCGGCTGGAGTGAATTCTTATGGAGGGGCAGGAAGGGGGGAGGGGGGGGAGGGGTGGATAGTGGGGATTAACAATTCCTCAGAGCCGATAAAAAAATCGAATAAAAGAAAATTTCACACAACTGAATTGTTTTCAACGACACCATCGCAGGGAGATTGTTATTCAACGATTTTACAACATCAATTTGTATGCTTAAATTTATCACGATAAACATCCAAGCTCAGTCGTAAATAAGAAATTGGTAGTAAATAAATAAAATTGATAATGAAGAATTCACGAGAGTGATAAAATCCCTTGATTTTTTCACTGCAAAATGTATTTGAAAATGAACTGTAAATGTTTGTTGAATTTAAAATGATGAAAAAAATGAACAGAAATTTATCTCGCTTGGGGGAAATATTTGCATGTGAATTTATTCACGTTTACAAATTGGTCAAATGTTAAATAACTTAATCCAAATTTATGGGCATGAAGAATGAACCCAGGAAATGAGTTCAATCGTACACTTAATATTCTCGTTTTCATTTTGCACGAACTATTGAATGAGTAAATTGGTATGCCAACAATAATTCAATCTTCTATTTAAACGAGATTGGGGTTTTTTTTCTTCATTTGTGGTATTGCAGGGGGTTAAAATATTTCACGGATAAAATAGTGGAGATAGTATAAATTAATGACTACGTAAATTCAGTACTGCTCGCGCGGTGATTTCTCTAATCCGGTAACGCGGGTTTTATCGAGTCTCACCTGCGGCTTGAAGAGTTGAGAGTTGCACGTGCGCATTATACACAGCTACTATAACAACGACAGGGACTAACAGGCATTTGTATATTTACGTGTATCGTCGGGTTATGGAGTACCGGGTACATACTCAATAGTTCTTTCCCTGCGGGTTACAGGTGTAATTTTCTTGCAAATCCGGGGGACTGTGTTACTTATGCTCTCTAGTTGGTTTACGTCTGTTTGGTTAAGTTGTCGATGTATCAATGGACGATGTAAAACTGGGTGTTTACTGGGTTGGGGAAACCACTGGAACGGGCGCTGTTTCGATGCTGGGAAATTAATGTTGATATTTCGGGTGAAAAGCACTGGAATGTTTAACAATCAAAGATTTATACGGATTTTTAGGCGATCTTTTTATTGATTAAGCAGTTTATTTGGGGGATATTCAGGGAAATTTTGGTGCCTCATTTGTCAAGAGGATTGAAACAAGTCGAGAATTTACTCATTGTATTCATTGAAAATTGACAATTTCATAGAAAAATCAATGGAAACTTCGAATTTCTGTTGAAAAACTATATTTTCCACGTGAGAGTATCCGATGGAGTCGAGGAGATTTATTTGAGGGAAATGAAGCAACTTGAATATTTTTCACAAAAGTTAAATTGAAAATACTTTTCTACTTTTATAGTCGAATATCAGCTTTCATTTGCGCCCCATTTGACTCTAAGTTTCCAGATATTTTACAATGATTTTATTATTTAAACATTGCAGGTCTGAATTTAAATCTCGATATTGAACCGTGAGAAGACTTTTTAAAAATCTGAAAAAAATAGAATGTTCACGTTTGGAGGAAGATTGATGAAATAATTTGAAAAGAGCAATTTTGGAAAATTACGAGCATTTTCTATAAATAATTTATAAACAATCAATTTTCCACCATAAAAATCTTTTTTCGAAATCGTAACAAATTTATTCATATTCAAAATTTTACCAGAAATCAATTTCATGCCTTAAAAAATAAGGTTTCCGAAAGTTTAAACAATTTCAATTATTATAATAATTTTATTGAAAGATAGTATGACTTTTACAAAACGAAGATTTTCAATAGGTACATCAATTCCAATTATTAATTTATAAACAACAAATGCTTGAAAAAATGACTTGATTGGATTGAATGACGCTGAATATTCATGATTTTTTTCAAATTTTTCTCACGCAATTTAATTGACAAATTTGATGATTGAAAATAATTGAATCTACAGTATGGTCTGTACCAAACTGTAAAAGATACTTGGATCCCCGTAAATAATAATTCTTGAATTGACAAATACCAATTGATTTCCACGAAATTGCTGCACGTGTCATTCAAACAGCAAAATAAATTGATAAAATCGTCCCATTGACCTGACGAAATTGAAGAGTTTCTCACCAATTTCCGATCAACTAAAATCATAACGTATTTTTTCTATTTCGGTTGTCACATTTTCCACGATCTCAAGTTGGCGCCGAATGGCCAGAAGTGTCCCCTGGCGCCGGCTGGTCCCCATCGTTACATTAGTGGCCTCCGTGTGCATTTTGGTTTCAAATCGAGATAGAACGCTCTCTGTATTTCGGAGAGGACCTACACCCAGTTATTGGCCCCTCTTTCCGAGCTTTCCCCTCTGAAATTCGTCCAGGTATTGGATCCATGGGACAAAGAGAAGCGGGGGACAAGTTGAAGACATTAAAATACGCTTTAAACCGTCCATTTGGGGCTGAACGACAATCCGAGTCCCTGGAGTTTATTGATCCCCGATGAGGGAGTGATCAGGCTTAACTGGTTGAGAGGCTTGCGTCAGTCACCTATTATTTTTAATGACCCACGGGGAGGGATACATTGGCAAATGGAGATGGATTGAAACATTTTCACACAATTTTTCAGGAGTCGGGACTCTGTTGGGGATTTAGGAAAATAAAAAAAAAATGCATCGACGGATTTGAATTTGGCCAGGCGGTGGGCTCGGAGGCGCCACGGCGCCGGATCTCGTAGAAGGGTTTCCGTGTAGGTCTCCAACACTCGTGAGTCTACGGTATCACACAACCATCCACAAACTGTGAACATATTCGTGGGGATCGTGTGCCGGGACCTCTCGGTGTCGTCTTTATTTTTTACGGCTGTCTTCTGTCCACTCGGGGACCCTCTTCCCACCTCAATTTTCCCCTTATGGATGACACACACAGCGTCAAAGTTTCTGATGGAACCGGGGGATAATAAATTTAATTGATTTTCTTTGTTTCATTGCGCGGAATTTGGGGAAATTTCGGGAACAATCGGTCGCTAATTTTTAATCTTGGGGTTTTTAAGGGGGCTTGAGAGGCAATCGTTGTTGAGGTGATGATTTATTGGGATATTTGACATTTCAGGTTTGGGGAATGTGAGGTTTTTGAATTTTGGAAGTTTTTTCACGTAGAAAATTTCGGGTAAAAAAATTAAAATTAAACTAAAATTAAAAACAATACTTATTGAATTTGGATTCCATATTATTGAAATTCTGAACAGTTCCATCATGTAGAAAAATTCGTGATATTTCTCTATTTTCATTCGTTCATCAACTTCCAACCAACTGATTAGAACGACTGAAATTTAAATGAAAGTGTCACTTGATAAAAATTATCAGATGACAATTTTACAGTGTAGTTCAACAAATCCATAATACCCCTGTAATTTCACGTCACGATTCAAAAATTTCAAGAAATCAATTGAAAATTTTAACAATCCCACAGCAAAAAACCCCCAATTTACATTTTTAAAGCCGTCTCCGTACCAGAACTTAATTGATTTTACCAGGGAATTTTCATTCAAGATTGCCATACCAGTAGGAATCGGA